GTAAAGCAATAAGACAAGGTACGAGCTCTCATGCTCCCAGGACGTGGGGGTGCATTCCTGGGGTGCACACATCCTGTCACTACACAATTAATTATATGCTTCTAAGTATACATGGTTAAACATTTCCTAATACAAATAAGTACAAACAGCATTCTACCATAAGCAAACTTATATCACTAAAAGATTATACTGACTACTAAATACAATTTTCCATTGACACATAGATTGTTGCTGTGCCTACGTGTGTCATGAAACATACTTGATAAAGCCTGAAAAGCCGCAACAACACCCCTGGGAGCCAGTAGAAAACATAGGAAGGCCCAGGACGGAGGCGGTCGCACTTTTCTTCCTCTCCCTTATCTTTCCTGCTTGGCTTCTTATGTCTTTTGTATAGACTTGCTTATCTCTAACCCTCAAAGAGTTTCTCAGACTTGTTCTCTGAAACCTAAAGAATTATGGATTTGATCAACTGGTCCTGTAACAGAATTGACACCCTGCTGGGCTTGGGAGAGCCTGATTGTCCTGTGGAGACGTTTGCTGCCGGATACTTGATGGTCGGTTGCGTCGTGTGTCTGGCGACACTCTCGATGGAGGACATTGGAGGACATCTATCAATTTGGAACCACGATAACAGAGTTCTGGCTGACTGGAGTTGGCTCGGTCCTGGCTTATTGAAGTACAAGAAGCAGCTACAGCTGTTCAAAATCCCACAAGGTTGGCCGACATGATGGACCATGGGCAGGGCTGTGTTTTGAACGCAATATGGAATTAGGGAAGAACAATGGGAATTGAGAGAATTGGCGACCAGTGATGGACATTAGACCAACTGTAAAAATTGGATGCAGTTGTTCGCACTAAACGCAAACATTCACCATCTTCACTCATGCGGCTATCCCAAAGGCGCCAGCTGAAGGCTGCCAAGGTGGAAGCTGACTGGAACAGCAAACATTCTCCATGATAACAGGATTGTTGTCGAACTCTGTTCCTTCTTCAAGGCCATCCGTGTTGATCGAAGATTGTTGACTTTTGCTTAACCGGGTGACGGGACACTTTCTCTCGGTTGACACGAAACACACGCACATATGTACATTCACCCCCCCAAACGCCTTCAAAGCTTATGTTTTCTGTGTTGTGAGATGTGATGATTCATGTGCTGAGGTGTTTTTTCTGTTCTCAAACTGATCTCCCTGTTGGAGCTCAGTCTGGGGGGAGTTCTTTTTTTCTCCTTATCTTTCCTCATGTTGTGCTTTTTCCATGTTATACCTCTCTGACCTGTCTTCCCCATGTGATGTTTATGTAATGTATGTATGGTCGGAAGGGTCAGATGGCGCTGGCACGGCTGGCAGCCTTAACCCAATTTCCCTCGGGATGAATAAAGTATTATCAACCAATCACACCTCAGCTGTTAGCCCCCAAAGAGTACTAAAGACCTGCAGAAGGAGCTGAAATTATCAGAACTGGTTATAATAGAAAAATGTGCGTTTTAAAGGAACAAGAGAATAACTCTTTTGGTCTGTGTGACTGCTCTGTCACTCTTGCAGTCATCTGTTATTG